GCTGGTCTCACATGTGCCTTCCATTTCATTTTGAAAATAATAACTCTGTAGAGTCTAATAACTCTGTAGAGCCTTTAATTTTTTTGGAAATGGCTGGCTGGCTTTCACACAGTGTTTTTTCATTGGTGTGTAGTTTTTGGGTCAATGTGCTGTCTATTTGTTTTGGTTTGTTCATTGGTTGCACTTTTTATACTCTGCTTTTTCACTAACTCGCACTTTGCACAATGTAATGTTCAACAGCTTACCCTGATGGACCATCATCAATCAGGAATGGCATTAAACAGGGGCAGAGGACCACAGGGACCTGCAGCTGGAATGGCAGAGAAGGTGAGGGAGCTGATTCTCTTCCATTTATCCCCAAATGTACACTTGCTCTGAAACATGAACTGTAAGTTAAGCCTTCTAATTAGAAAAACTACTGGCAGCTTTTGCAGTCCATTTCTTATATCACGAAAAAGGAGAGTCAGAGATGTGCACAAAGAGGAACTCGGCACTAGATCACTCCCTGTGACCCCCCTGCTTTCCCAAAAGGCGCCATGTTGCTTTATCTGAAAGGCTTTGTAAACACGGAGTGGCCACAGGGAGATTTTTCCCACAGTCAGCAAGCAGAGAGCATTTAAGGGCTGCAGTCCTTGTCTATCCATTCATTTTGACTTGTAGGCTCAGGTGAGGCTGCTTAAAAGCAAGTTCCCTGCTTACAAAGTGAAGAAAGCAATATTTACCAGTGGGATGAGCAAAAGGCATAATTAAAGAGCCATCGTCCAGCTGGATTTGGCCCCAAAATATCTGTAGGACATAATGGCAAATAAAACATTTGTAGAAAGGGCTGTCTTGGATTCTGCTAGCGTTGGCACGGGGAGCAGTGGCAGCGGAGCTGGGGAGGGCGGTGGAGCAGCCTCGGCGCCAGGGCGGGCTGGACCCGAGCAGGGAGGCGGCCGGGGCTGAGCTCTTTGCGGTTTTCTCCCATACTCGGAGCTGTCAGTGAGGGAGTTGGGATGAAAAGTATATTCAGATTTTTAAACATCTTTCAGCTGGAAAAATTGCTGTTGAGAGAGAAGCGTGTACACCTTGTCATGCTGCTTAAACACCCCAGCTGAAACCAGGGCTGCGTTATGTCAAACGCAGCGTGTGGACATGCCCGTGTAGCCACGAGGGAGGAGGAGGAGGAGGAGGAAGTGGAGTGAGAAACCCCCTTCTCTTGCCTCCTCCATGCAGAAGAGGCAGTGCTGCAAGCAGGAGAGAGGCACGAGAGCTAAGGGTGGGAAGGGGAGACAGAGGACGCAGGGGGGTCACTGAAAGAGCCCAGTGGGGATCCCGCCACCCCCTCAGTACCCTGTGCCCTGCCACGCTGCCCCCCGCCCCAGCCCGTGCCACCCACTTGTCCACCCCTCAGTGAGGTGCCGTGGCCAAAGTTGCCTGCCAGCTACAGAGTCATTAGTACCGTTTCCAAAGAAGTTCAAAACCAAAACACTATGACAACGTGGCAGTTTCTGTGCCAAGCGCCAAGCGAACCTGAAAGGTTAGTGTACTCTTTAATGAAATTCCTGCTTCAAAGTCTCCATCTCTTTTTCACCGGGGACCAGCGCTTTCTTTAAGCAATGTTTAGAGGACACCAGTCTGCAAGGGTAATCATCCTCGCCTCTGGCAGGAAGAGCTCGCGCACTAGCATTTCTGAAAAGGCTCTCTTTGTGAATAATTGAATTTGTCTCTGGAGTTCAAGATTTCTTTTTCTGTGGGGCTGACTGCAGCTCTGCTTCTTCCTTAGGTGCAGCTTACTGTAATTGAGGCAGAAGAATTGCATTGCAGTCGAGGGTTTTGTGAGCATGACGCATAATAGGGGTGATCGCCACAGAAAGAGTACTTTCTAGTGTTCAAAATGCCTCCTCCAGTGGTGAATGGAGCTGCAGAAAATAGAGGACCCCCCACTGCTACCCCCACTCTTACCCAAGGGGAAAAAAATTAATGTCACATGAGGCAGCAGAGGTGTCCTTGAGCAGCGGGCAGAGCGCCGCGCTGCAGCTCAGTGCTGGGGCCCCATCCTGGGCAATGCTCAGAGACCACCAGTGCATTCCAGTGCTGCCACCACCTGGGACACAGAGGAGGACCAGCCAGGCCAACTGCTTGTCCAGCCCGAAAGAAAATGTTGAGGTTCACATATTCCCTGACAATGTGTATGTCTTGCCTGGGCAGAGCTTCTTTTGCTTTTAAACCTCCCAGCCTTGCAATGGTTTCTAGGTCTCTCTGGAAAGGCACACACAGCATAATGGAAAAATCTGTGCATCCCAACTCTGAGAAAAACATCCCTGCAGCTGCCCCACCAAGGAAAAGCCCATTACAGATATGTCCTCCCTCCAGCTACGCATGAGGCTCACTGCCCCTGGGCATGTGTCAGTACCTCTTCTCATCCCCGCCATCCATAACCCGGTGTGTAACATCCCACCGTGGCACCTACCAAGCTGCCTGTGAGTAACTTTTCGGGAAAGGCGGGGAGGGCAGGGGGAGGAACCTCTCATAATAATCCGCACTGCTGTGAGCAGGACCTCGTGTCCGGCTCCAGGGAAGAGATGGCTCCCTGCCAGCACACTGAGATAAGTGGCATGTCTCAGAAGTGGTTTTTGATGCTGTATGCAAAGGCAGGGCTTGACTGTTCACGCACATCAATATGTCAGCAGCGGAGTGAATGACTATTTCAAGACTTTGGGCTTAAGGTAGGAATTGGGGCAACACAGCTCTGAAATGAACAAAAATCCATTGAGCTGGGAGGCTTCTTTCTTTTCTGTCTTTCATCACTGAGCTCAGCAACAGCACTGGGTGGCTGCATTCAGCCAGCACAATGCAACATGGCAGCAGTATATTTTTAGGATGTTATTTTAGGGGGGGAAACAAATTTTAAAGGCAAGACACAGTGATCTAGTAACACAAACAAGCTGCTCGGGGATTTCTGTGGCTATTGAATATATCACACAGCTCTTGGGCTGTCTTGTCAAATTGTGATGTATGTTTCAGATCAATAAAAATGGTCGTTTGAGACTTTTCCCCCCCGTGTTACAAAAATTACATAAAATACATTCTCTCATGGTACAAAGCGTATATGAACTGATCAGCAGGAGAAGCTAAGGTAACTGCACCCATGAACGAAAGCCCAAAGACTGAAGTCCAATTTTCTTGGACTCTAGAATCTGCAGATAATCTCTGGGTTCTTTGTGGTCTCCACTCTAAACTGGAAGCCAGAGCATATATCTTTAATATTTTTACTCTGTTCTGTGGCTGTCAATTACAATGGTTTGAATATTCTGTTCATCTTCAACTTCAGGACTTCTTGATCCTCCAAGACAGATCTTTCTCTACCAGGCTTCTGAGTGACAAGCAGAGATTTCATCCCCAGAGACAATTCCCTTAGCAGTAATCTGGGCATCCAGTGTATTTACCACAACTGCTTTTAGTGCATTTCCTCAGGTAGAGGAACAATGAAAACAAAAAAGGAATTGTGCAGCATCATTTTTCCTCCAAGACATGTCTCGAGGCCTGACCATAGCCTGGCCAGCACTATTAGTTGTTCCAGCTGGAGACCTTAGCCTGCTTAAATGTGCTACCAAAAGGTTGCATATGCACAAATTGGGGAAGTGGTATAGATGTTTGCACCTGGTAGCACATAAAATAGGGAAATGACCAGTGAGGTCTGTCTTTTTTTACCTTGTGCCTTGCATGCTGGAGCTATGGGGAGCTCCATGGTCAGCAAAAGTAGACAGTTGGAAAGGAAACAAAAAACAGTTGTGAAGAAAATGGTAGGTAGTGGCTGGCAGTTTCCACAGGCCTTGCCTGAGCAGCAGAGAGGGGTGCCATAAAAGAAAAAGGCTGACAAAGGCACCCAGGCCCTCTAGAAACTGTTTCAGAAAAGACATGTCAGGACACAGACCACCCAAGGATGGACCAGCCACCGGAGGGAGGGCACTGCTGGTGGAAGGAGGTGCCTGTTTAAGGGACTGTGCTTTCTCTGCCCTGGTGGGTGGGCTGGAATCGTCTCTCTCCCAAAGTCCAAAGGTCGGGTCATCCTCGGGCCCCTGGCGAGGGAGCTATCGGGGCAACCAGACTCTTGCCCACCTGTGCTTCCAAACACCCATCCCACATCGGGGACAACCAGCAGATAACGTATGTCCACACTGTGTACATGAGGTGTCCTGCCCTGCTCTTTTGATTTAGGGGAAACAAGTGTGGTAAGCAAGAACTCAAATCTGTTTCTTTCTGAAAAGCTGCCAACAGCAGGTCCAATTTGCATTAGACCTCTCTGCAATGAGATGCTTTGCTGACAGGTGTGTGCCTAATTTATGGAAATACAGTGTGCTTCGAGGACAGTTCAGAAGGATTTACAGGTGACCTGCAATAAAGACAGGTCATGGAACTGGCAGGAACCACACGCTTCTGCCTGAGGGTGCTGCCATTACCAAAGCTACCAGCTGAACGCAGTCGGGAATGGAGGTTAACACCACCAAGTGATGTTGTCATGTGTGATGCTCTAATTCTTCATCCTGCAGAAAATAATTAATGATCCCCTTCTCAAGTAAAAAAACCAAACAAAAAAAAAGAATCCGGAATATTCCCAATTCACTCTAATTCAGGGAGATTGGTTCTGTTATCTTGCTGTTTTCTTAAAAGATAGTGAATGTAAAGAGTCTGGAAATAGTATATTTTAGTTATTTTAGAAAAACCTGTTAAGGAAATGAAGTAGAGAGGAAAAAAAAGTCAGCTTTTTTGTATGCTATGTACTAGATATTCAACTTTAGTCATCTGACAAATTTTCAAGAGAGTATAACCCAGTAAAATGCTTACTCTGAGTTTATCTGAAAAGATAAAGGGGAAAAAACCCAATAGTTTTGAACATGGGCCTGTAGTATAGGTAGTGTTTTCAACATAAAGATTTCACAAGATGTGCTAAGTTTATTGCTCTGGCAGGAAACTGAGGCTTTCACATTTAATGAAGCGTTCTTTGAAGTCACGCTAAAATGATGAGCGTGCCTGTGTTGCACATCTGCCTGTCTGCACAGGGCAGACCGTTTCGACTTCCTTTTCTGAGACACTGCCGGGAGCAGGCCAAGACAACGATGTATTTACCAAAACTTCATCAAGTGAAGATGGAAAAAAGGTGGCTCTTCTCCCTCTTTTGCTTGTTCTTGGCACCCAGCGTTGCAGGTAAGTGTGTCAGCGGGATGCCTTGACTCAGCTTATTACAGGGGGTGGTGAGGGGCAGGGTATGTGCAGGCTGGGCTTAGTGTGTCTCACCAGGGCGAGCTGTAGCTACTAGTAACGATTTTCTGTTTCCTGACAACTTTCTAACAACCCTAGTAAATAACACACAGCTAGTAAGGAATAAATGGCTCGTGCTGACTAGCAGATTAGTTTACTCAAAATGCCTAAACCGTTTTCACCAGAATAATCACTGAGGTGAGCTCACTTGTGTTTAGGGCAACATGCGTTCATCTCCAATGGGCAAAAAGGAAAACTGCTTTCAAAGAGCAAATAAAAAAAATCTCTCTCTCACACACACAGACATACCTGTGTACGCAGAGAGAGTTGAAACATTTAAAGGCAAGGATAAGTTGTACAGCTGCAACCCCTTAAATAGATTCTTCCTCTTCCCCACCCAGCCCTACGTGCTGTGTTAAAGGCTTGAGAAACGAGTTTTTCACTGGGAATAAAAGTTTCAGAAAAGTTGAATAAGGAGAACTGCATCCCCATCAGAGGGAGTTTAAACCAAAAATGACCTGAGGGAAACCAAGGAAAAACCTGATGCTCACAACCCTCTCCCCCTCCCCCAACAGGCTGACCGTGCTGAATCCAGGAGTACTTGTTACTAGCTAGGAAGAAGAATTTTGTAGCATATGACTTTTTCCAGTCAAGAAAGGAAAAAGTTCATGTATTTACCTGGCATGGTAAGATGCAACTCAAAATCTGGCATAGGCTCTTCCTATTTTTTTACATCAGTGAGACAAACTGGATTTTAAAAGTAAGGAAAAAATTTCATATATGTATTAATAGAAAATAAGAGTTCTCAAATGCACTTAAAGAACTAGAAACCTTAAGACATGCACATGCAGGAAAGCAATACTATTTAGGGAAAAACAGGACATGTTTTTTCCCGAGGATGAAATCCTCACTGAAGTCACTCAGAGGTGAAAGTGGACACCACTGTGCCCTTTGTGGATATCAGACATCTAAATGTCTGGGAGTTACTCTATTAAATTTCAAACGGAGCACAAGTAGGGGCTAATGGACAGCATTTGATTTGGAAAAATAAAGTTGGCATAAAATGAGACTAATTATATTGAGATGCTAACAAAAAGTTAAGAACACTTTTGCATGCAAGAGTTTCAGTTAAAATAGCCTGAAGTGCTAGGCTAATAATAAACAACACAAATTAAAATGTTGTTTCTACATATGTAACTTTTTCATCTCAGTATAAAATACTCAAGTAATTCTCAACAGGCATTCTTTACATGGTTCTCTGACCTGATACAGCATCAGTATGAATGTGAGAGTTAACTTGCTAGGTGTCCCTTGCCTGCTAATCTGATCGCAAGATTTTTAATCGGTTTTTACTTAACTTTTACTGATGCAAAACTTGCAGTGAAATCAGGAAGCCTGTGCTATAACAAGCTCCTTGGACTGACAAAAATAATTTTCAGTAATTTTTCTCACAGCACTTGTCATTCAGGCTTATTTTTATTTACCCTCTTACGTCATCCCATCTCTTGGAAGTCAACTAAAAGATGAACAGAACATGCACAGCATTAAAAAACAGAGATTAATGTTTGCCATGGCCATTCAGTAGCTTTGTTCTCCATGTAACTAGTCTCGACATGTCCGTGTCACACTTCAGTGGTCAGGTACCCAATCTCAGCCAGCTCTGTGGGGATGTGGGACTCTGCCCTTCTTCTTCTTCTTCCCTGGCATGGAAGTCAACTAAAAGATGAACAGAACATGCACAGCATTAAAAAACAGAGATTAATGTTTGCCATGGCCATTCAGTAGCTTTGTTCTCCATGTAACTAGTCTCGACATGTCCGTGTCACACTTCAGTGGTCAGGTACCCAATCTCAGCCAGCTCTGTGGGGATGTGGGACTCTGCCCTTCTTCTTCTTCTTCCCTGGCAAACCAGATTTTTTCGCTCCCAGCCGAGCCGTCAGAGCCAGGGCACGCCATTCCTCCTGCGGGCACTGTCGAGGCTGCCTGGCCCCTGGCACGGCATCCCCTGGCCCAGGTGCTGGGGAGCCTTGTACCACACGGCAGAGCAGACGTCAAAGCAAAGAAATTGGTACCCGCGTTTTTTCCAAGTAAAGAAAGTGAGCAGCGAGTGCTTGCTGCCGTGGGGAGTCAGCAGTATGGCTGGCAGGACTGCGGGGCAGGTTCCCAAAGCAAATTTACAGTGATGTTTTGATACACAGGGAGGATAAAAATCCAATGGAGATGGGGAGTGACAAGTCTGTACCTAAGAACATCTGCACAAACTCATTTTTTTCTGGGGACCCTCATGCCCTTTTGAAAAAGGGCCTTTCTGTATATGGCTCTGTAGGTGCGATTCATTACTTGTCTCACTAAGACTCCCCCATCCATAAATTCTTCATCTCCTCGAGCCTGTCAGTGCCTTGCATACAGGGTTTTGGGGAGGGAGAAAGGGAGAGAAATCAGTTTTACTACAGCAGCAGCAAAACCGAGCAGTACAGGCTCCTGTTGAAAGTCCTTTCATTTCACCCATCCATTACTCCTTTATATGGCACACTAAGGACTGCCAACATGCTCTATGAAATTAATTGAGGAAGAAACCATACATATCAGGGCAGCTTGTTCTGATACTGAAATGGACACTTGTTTAGGCCATACAGGAGCTGTTTAATAACATGGAGGTAAAAGAATATCTGTTTCTGTTGAAGCAGCAAAGGCAATGGGCAGGGGGTACGGTGCAGGGCAGAATTAGCCAGCAGGGATAACTCATTTGTTGTTGCAAAAACAACTGGGGAATAACTGGACGCAGCTTCTTCTTTATTTGTATCACTTGAAAGGTTTCCATTTTCACGGAGGCCCTCAGAGCTCCTATTTCTCTCTTGTGAGCGTGATGGGAGCTCCCCACCCTCTTCCAGACAAGTGCACGTTTGCTCTCCCAGTTCTCTCTCTGCAATCTGTACTGGTGGACATCTGCTGTAAAGCTCCTTGCTGGAAAGCCTCTCATTACAGATGTAGGGTCTCCATAGTTGTCTGTGGCTAAGGCACCTGAACATGTCAAAGATGGCTTAGGAGAAAGCTTTGTTTAAACATGACATGCACTGAAAGCGGTCCTGTTTGTTTTTAAGGCCAGCCTGGAGAGATCTTTACAGAAGCAGAAGTGGTCCACGCTTTGCCAGGTGCTAACGTGACCCTGGCGTGCAGCTTCTCAAAACCACACACCACCTACGTAATACAGACACAGTGGTCCAAGACTGATGAAACCCAGCTTACCAGAATAGCTGTTTATCACCCCGTTTATGGCATCCATTACTTCACATTTCCTGAGGCTTCTTACAGCTTTTCGGTGTCCTTCGGCACGAGGAAGTGCTGCGACTGGGATGCTACAGAGGCTTTGTGTTCCCCTGATCCAGATGTCACACCTGAATGCAATCGGTGGGCTCTGCATCTGGAAAATCTTACCGTCTCCCTTAGCGGGCAGTACGAGTGCAGTTTTGCTACTTACCCGTACGGGTCAAAGGCTGCAAAAATTCAACTTATTGTCAAGGCAGAAGGTGAGTGATTACAAATGAGATACTGCTTTTTCATTACAGGAGTGAGGGGGGGGTGGAATATAGGGATAGATGACCATTTCTTAGTCGGTGATAGTGACTTGTTTGGGATTTGCAGTTTTGCCACTGAATGCCCCTGTCTACACAGTTTCCTATTTACCAGCTGCTCTTTAGCTGTTGCTATCCAGCTCCTGATTAGGAAACCTTATTTATTTGGAAAAATATGAAGTTAGATAACAAGGAAAAAAGGTGGTGAGATGGGCTTTTTCCACATTTTCATTTTGGAGAAACATGATGCTGAAAAGACTGGGTCAGTGGCTCAGGATATGGTGGGACTGATGATGCTGGATCTCCAAACCACACCGAGCTGTGGCTATGGACCTGCAGCACTGGGCACATGAAAGAGATAACACCTTTGACTGGTGGAGGCTGAGGGCTGGCATCTGCAGTGTGTGCTGGGTGTTAGCTCAATGGAGGGATGTCCTGGAGTACTGCGTCCAGCTCTGGGGGCCCCAGTACAGGAGAGACATGGAGCTGTTGGAACGAGTCCAGAGGAGGGCCACGAAGCTGATCGGAGGTGCTCTCAGCCTGTGAAGACAGGCTGAGAGAGTTGGGGTTGTTCAGCCTGGAGAAGAGAAGGCTCCAGGGAGATCTAATTGAGGCCTTCCAGTACCTGAAGGGGCCTACAGGCAAGATGGAGAGGGACTGTTTATCAGGGGGTGTAGTGACAGGACAAGGGGTAATGGGTTTAAGCTGAAGGAGGGTAGATTTAGACTAGATATTAGGAATAAATTCTTCACTATGAAGGTGGTGAGGCACTGGCACAGGTTGCCCAGAGAAGCTGTGGATGCCCCATCCCTGGAAGTGTTCAAGGCCAGGTTGGATGGGGCTTTGGGCAACCTGGTCTAGTGGAGAGTGTCCCTGCCCACAGCAGGGGGGTTGACACTAGATGGTCTTTAAGGTCCCTTCCAACCCAAACCATTCCATGATTCTATGTGTGTCCCCACTGTCAAAAATGAACTGGAGCAAAGCAGGGGATTGCTTAGGATGATCACAGGAACAGAGACTTGGCTGCTTCTGTCAGCCAAAATGAAGCTGGAAAGAAACATGACTGCTCTTGGTAAGTAAGCCTCAGGGGAGAGTATCCAGGGAGGATATTTGAATTATCCTGGCAAAGGAACAAATGGGTTTAAATAGGATGTGAATGGATTTGACTACAAATTAAACAATGGTGGCAACCATTAGTGCAGCAACTTCAGGAGCAGCTGTTTAATGCCAGCAGCAAGGGCAAAAGTCCAAACTGCCATGAAGATGGAGCTGGGCGGGGATGTCGGACAAGGCTGCTTCTTGTGCACTTGGGGACTGGATCTGATGACCCCAGAAACCTCTTCCTAACCCAGGTTTCTGTTAACAAGCCAAGAAGGATTAAAATAAATGCAACAAACGTGGCACGGTTTCAGTTCAGAGCTGCAAGGCCAGCATGCTCACCCTGCTTACGCCCAGAGCTGTAGATGCAGGTTCAAGGGTTAGAAGCAAGGTGGGTGCAGGTGACACAAGGGGTAGCAGAGGGCAGCAGAGCACTGGGGCAGCAGCATGCATGAGCACCACGCTCCCATCGCCTCTTTGGCCTGTGTCGTGAGGCCAGACCAGTGGCAGGAGGGACATTGGTCCTCATGCTGGATCACATCGGTCCTGAAGCAGAAGGAGCCTTGACTCCATGGGGTCAGGGACAGGGCATGGCTCCTCAGCAGCTGTGGCAGTGGCCTCCGTCTGAAGCAGGCTGGCGACCTTGGACAAACAAATTCCGGGTCCTATGCAAGCCTTGTACACAGGGACATTTAACCCCAGCTTCCATCTCACTCCTTGATGGCCCCTGCATGGCTGCGGCTCCAACCATTTTGGTGCTGTTATCCCAGAGTCACATCTCAGGGGTGATCCAGCGGTGCCTTACCGCCCTGATGAACTTGTAAAGGCAAAACTGGAGCCAGCATCTCTGCATGTCCCATAGAGGATGGGGGTGTTTAAACAGTACATGCGGGATAATTGTGTCAAGGACAAAGCTGCCGCTTTACCCGCTGTACGGGGGTGTGCTGCAGCAGCCTCCCCTTTGGGAATTTTCCTGCACCTCATGGGGCAGAGGGGCCGGATCAAGTGGAGAGCAGTGAGGTGCAAACAGTGCTGGTAGCCGCATGAAACCCTCCCATGCTTCTGTTCTTTGTGTGATTTTTTTCTCTGTCTCTTCCTTAATATAGTGATAGTGCTAACCAGGCATTGCTCCTTTTTTCTTGCTGGTGCCCTTAGTTGATATTAGCATGTTCAATGCCGTTATTGCCGTCTACATGTTAAACGCGGGCAGCTCTTGTTCATATCAGCATCATTGTGGCTTTTTTCAGCAACTGCATGACGTAGCAAGCTGTGCTACTGCTTGCCAGAGAGAACTAAAAAATTCAGTTTGCAACATACCTCTTGCAGATTTGTATTTTAAGGTAACCAGATCTTTTGCAACGAACTATTTCCACTCCAAAGAAGGCAAAAGACCTTAATCTAGCCTGCAAGTGGGATGGAGATGCTAGTCATTAATGAAGTACAGCTCCCCACTACATCAAACTGAAGTGAATCCAGATGGATTCAACTTGCAGATACCGCAAAAAGCCCGCAGAGCAGCAGGCCTACATAGGAGAGACAAACAAGGAGAACCTTAGCCAACAGGCTGTTAATACAGATGGGAATCAAAGATGGTGTGGGGGAAGGAGGGGGAAATAAGCAGCTGGGACACGTGACTGTGAGAACAGGCAGAGGCTGTTTGCAGCCTGAGCTCGTGGGGTGACTACTCGTCTTCGTACTTCTCGTATGCTGCACGACACTTTTGCATGGTAACTTGCCCCAGCAAAGTCTCCTGTGCAGTTTTCTTCTGGAGAAGCTATAGATTTGCTTCGTTTGCCCTTTCTTTATCCTTTCCACACTATCCAGTCTCTTTAGGGCTTGTGCACTCCGTGTCCCGTTGTGATAGCTGGGTCCTCAGCTGCTTCGCGCTGGTGGAGAGTGGAGACAAGCTGCTTCTGCTGCTGTCCCCTGGGCACCTCTCTGGGTGCTGCCTTTTCTCACGTCCCTGTGGCACAGGCTGCGTGCTGGCACCATCACTCTGTGCTTGGATGCCAGACGTAAAGGAAGTTACAGTCACCAGAAAGTCCCCGCTGCCAAATAACCTAACAGTGTGGGACTGCTAGATAACCTCCCTCCCCTCGAGTTAATAAATAAATAAAATATACATCTATTCTATCCCAATGCACAAGCCAGAGCTACCAGGGGAGCAAAGTTCAAGCGTTTCCCCGCGGTGTGTGCCGGTGCCTGCCGACAGGGAAGAGGGAAGGCCGGGCTGTGCAGTACAGCTGCGGCAGGGAAGCTGGCCGGCACGACGGGCTGCACGGCGCTACCGCCGCCGGGCTGAGGGTCGGAGAGGCCAGCGCTCACCAAGGCACTCGTAGCATCTCCTGGCCATCACCGCTGCTCTTCCTGTTTAAATGCATACACGCACACAGACTTGACGTTTGGACCACGGCTGTGCTCTGTTCGGAGCATCCCTCTGCCCTTCCACAGATGGGCTGGAGCCCTGGACTGGGAATGGGTAGGGTAGCGAGCTGGTGGAA